ATCTGATGAATGCCTGCGCATATAATGCGAGCAAATAAAAATTATTTTTGATATATGTAAAAATAAATATATATGCGTAAAAAAATGTAATGAATATTAGACTCTAAATCATGTTTAGAGCCTAATATTCATATTTGAATAGTATTTAAGTCCTCTGTGTCACAGTACCCAAGCGTCTCCAGTCCTTGAGTTATTGTTTATTTACAATTACAGAATCGAAGGTTATATATTTTATAATTGTCATGAAGCTTATTATAAAGGTATGCAGAGTTGGCTTGCAATTGTATTCCTCTTAGTTGGGGTCACTTTACGCTGTCTTCTACTTATTTGAGAGATGGGTGCGCAAGGTAACGTTTTATGTAGTTTGAGTACTGAGTTGATAATATAAAGTGACAATATATTATGATTTAGATATAATTCGTCAGTAGGGAATCTTAATGGTTTAAAGAATATTACTTTTAACAAAAACTTTTGAGCTCTTTCTGCTTTAAGAAATTTGATTTTTGTGGCACCACTCATGATATATTGTTCTAAAGCAAAGTAAATATGCTTTAGAATGTCTTGGAATGTGATGTGTTTTAACTTTTTAAAGACCCATATAAGCTTACGAAACCTATCATTCATAGCTTCAATTTGTGGGTTCCAGGATAATCTATTCGCACCCGCATTGTATCGTATTAGTAAAGTCACAGAGGTACACCGCGGGGAGCGGGGAGTGTATGTTTATTGATAGCAAAGCCAATAAAATTTGTTTTAGCGATATTTAAAGTATTAAGGGTGGATTTTAGCCAGCTTACAACCTTATGGAGACCACGCTCGGCTGCTTTAAAAACTGAGTTTCAGGAAGTACAATTAAATACATTGTTACATTAAATTACATTAAATACATACGCGTATGAGAATACTCAACTCAATCTCGAGATTAATTAATTCGTTCCGGTATATCAAGAATAATGTAAGGCCTAAACCACTGCCCTGGGGCATGCCGTACTCAATCTTAGGCCCGTATTAATAAAAGTTACTCAACGATGAACTCAAGTGCGTAATCATTTTATACGCCCTCATTACGATATCAGCATCTCAAGCTCATTGCTAATTAATAAACACATAAAAACAGTATCTCAAAACGCTGTACTTAGGAATACTGTTCTGCGACCTGCACTCAATAACACACACTTGAGAGTCGAGTTTCGTTTATGAATTAGTGTGGTACTCAGCTCATATCGTAAACCTAAACCGCATCTTGAGATATGTTTATAAATAAGATCATAACCTCAAGATTGTACTCAAGTGCGTGTACTTGAGCTGAGTAACGTTTATTAATACGGGCCTTAGTGTCAGAACTCGTGTAACTATCGAGTTTTACACTTTGGAACTGGTACTACAAGTATAATCAGTTAGGAGTTTTAGTGGTATGCACCTATTCTCACCTATTCTCACCTATTCTCACCTATTCTCCATTTTTTTCATAAGATCCACCCTTAGATAGAAACAGTGTCGGAAGATTTTTTTTTAGATCGAAGAAGCCTGTGAGACACTGTCCTCCACGGTTTGAAAAATAAGTTACTAAGGACGATATAATCTATACGGTAATCCTGAGATGGCGTCTTTTGTGGATTTTGCTTTTCTGAACCTGAATTGCGAACTGCACAAAATAATAAATTTTCGGCATAGGTAATAAGCCGTTTCAATAACTTTATAGATTACTGGCAAGACTGAAATAGGTCGATAATTATTAATATCCATTTAGTCACCACCCTTGTAGACGGGTGTAGCGATGGAGTTTTTAAACAAAGTTGGGAATATATATCTATAAAACGTTACGTAAAGTTGCGGTTAGTTTATTAAATGTATTGCAATACAATATGAAACTTATTTCTGAAATTGTGGTTTTTGGAGCAGCTAGGTGCCGGCTGCAATAAGCATGCATGTATTTAATCTAACAATTTCATGAATATGTTAACCGTAATACCACAATATGTTATATTAACCGTTTTAATTAAAGTAAAAATAAATAAATAAATAAAACTCTTATTTATATAGTGAAAGTGATAATATAACGTGTTTTCAACTCTTAAATCTGTAATCTTGAGCCTCTATTAATCTACAATTCACATCGCTCGATCGTGATTTCAACGACAACTTGAAAAATTATGCGTAATCGAAAGGCAATTGACGTAAAACGTGAAGTGATACGAATTTCGGTAATCTCTGTATCTATTAAATAAACAGAATGCGCTAAGAATCTAACCATCAATAATAGTGCAATAATATTTGATGTACAGCGATTATTTCTAAATTCGAAATAATGATCTATAAAATTAAGCCTACTACAGTGTTTTAAAAGCGTGTAACTGTTTGAAAAGGGTTTCTGAAACGTTTAAGTGGCTTAAAGTAAGCACGTAGATTTTTGTTTCATCATTTACAATGTTTGCTTGATGATTGGGTCAGGCATATACGTGCATGCATGCCTATTAATTATTCTAAACCAGTGCTTGACTACTATTCACAATAATGCTAAGTAATGCTCACAAAAGTTTAATTTTTCTTACCTTTAAGTTACCCACACCATATCGAATGGAATGAAAGATGTTGGTAAATTATTCCAATCCTTCGCTGTGCGTATGATAAACGACGAAGCAAACCGTTTGGCACGAATGAAGGCGTGGTAACTTGACAATAATAGAATCTATTAGAATAACATAGTAATCTTTATTCAATATAGATTGTTACATAATACTTATTGAAAGTAATTTTTTTGTCTACCACTGGTTCTGAATACCTCTGTCCTGGGAAGAACCAGCAAGAACCCAGCGGGAATTTTTTTTAAACATATTTCACTGTAAAATAATTTCGTTTGTACAATTATTAAAATGAATTTTAATAGAACCAGCATGGTGGTGATCACCACCTCATTGCCAGGGGTTATTTTCATTCATATATTCTTTGATATTATAATAACCCTTTTTGTACAATTTTTCTTCAATAAGTCATTTAAACCTGTTTATTGACAAATTTTGTACATTTTCTGGGATTTTGTTGTAAAAGCGTATTCATTGCCCCATAAATGAATTACTAATTCTGAGGAATCTAGTAACTGATATTATAAGTTTATGTTTGTTCCTAGTGTTTAAAGTATAAACATCTTTATTTACATCAAAGCTATTTATGTTTTTATGTACATACATTATATTTTTCAAAGTTCAATGTTATTTGACAAAGTTAATTATGTTTATTTCTTAAAAAAATTCTCTAAGGGATTATAAATCGCCGGTATGGCCCTCTTTTGCAAAAAAAATATGACTTCAATGTCAGTCGCATTACCCCATAGCAAAATTCCATAAGACATCACGCTATGAAAGTAACTAAAATGAACTAATCTAGCAGTATCAACATTGGTGAGGCTTCTTGTATTTCTTACAGCATATACTACAGAACTAAGTCTGCCTGCTAATTTAGATATGTGGGGGCCCCATTGAAGCTTCGTGTCAATAGTACTACCAAGAAAAACAGTGGTATATACAAGACTCAACTCCTCCCCATTTAAGAGCACATTGGTATTTGAATGTTTAACATTAGGTATTGTAAATTTAACACATTTTGTCTTATCACCGTTCAAGAGTAAATTGTATGTGTAATAAAAACCAATGTACTAATTTCGATAGAGCATTATTTACATTGTCAAAATTAATTAACTGTCGTTTGAGTTTAAAAAATAAAGAAGTAAATAATACTATATCGCGATTATCTCCTACAAGATAAGGTAAGTCATAAATATAGATTAAGAACAGTAATGGGCCAAGAATCGAGCCCTGTGGAACGCCCATTGATACAACGAAAGGTTGAAGACTGGTTGAGCGTGTGGATGTCCGGTCGTGGAAGGCAGATGGAAGAATTACGTCATGCTTCCGTATTTGGCTTGAGAAGGTCAAATTAAATTACGTCCTTGCTGTTAAGCTGCTAGATGACGTATAAGGTGTACCGAGACTGTACACATTATACGTCAGAATTATTCTTAGGCATCTACGTGCTTGCCCTTTGCTTGATGATATTTTATATTTATTGCATATTCTGACATTATGAATATTGAAAAGAGTATTTATCATGATAATTTTAACAACAATTGTAAACAATTGCTGTTATTTTAGATCTTAGACTAACTTCTACGGCTCGCTAATAAAACAGAGCTAGTATTAGAACAATGTTAAAATATGAATTGCTTGGTTACACAAAATAAATTGCTAAAACAGGAATTTAGAGAAAGTATTAGACCGCATTATTATAATAAAGTTGGTTAAAAATTAAAAATAAACTCATTAAAAAAATATTTAATGAGTTCATCTTTAAATAGATTAATTAATTTAAAAAATTAAAAATAGTTAAAACCCTTTAATAATCCTTTTGAAAATACCATTTAGAATTCTTTATTGTTATAAATTACAATAAATTGTTATAATTATTATAATTAATATCCTTTATGACGTAACTAAGGGAGAGGCCTGTGTTCAGCAGTGGGCTTTTGATTTGCCGTAATTAATAATGAATAAATGAAGTGTGTTTGTTCCGTTGCATTTCAAAATTGGAATCGTTCATAAAAATACAACGGAAGAGGCTCATGACCAGCTGTTGACTATATGTACTGACTGTGTGTTTCCCTCTAAATATTAATTTTACCTGCACTAGCTTTTGACGAGAAGAGAGTGACACAGAGAGAGAGCGAGAGAGAGAGAGAGAGAGAGAGAGTGAGAGAGAGATAGAGAGAGTTGCCATCAGTGCCATCCGTGCGAGGATATTGTGTCTGCATGCGCACACCATTGTGCCAGTCGGTCAGAGTATCTAAATTAATATATACGTTCACATACTTCATCATCATCATCATCATGATAGTTCATGAATTTTTTATAAACTGAGGGCCAATACAAACAATAGTATTGAATTAATTATATTTTAATTAATGGCACCACTACGAAGTCAATGATAACTCATTGTTTTTATTACAGGTCAAGCTTGGCGAGTTCCGACACTACTCCTTTCACAATTGTATAGCTTTGCAAAACGCTGACATAATCAAAAGGGCTTGTAACTGTACGCCATACTTTTTTCCGTTTAAGAAACAAGGTATTTGTACTAAATATTACAGTGATTTGTTTTTGAAGTGCTGTGGTAGACAGAGTCTAAGCGCTAGCAGCACAGAATAAATAATAGTACAACTAGCAGTAAAATACGAGCAACACGGGTTTGATAATCTCCAGCACTAATGAAATTGTTAATGGCAATTATAAGCGCTAATATACCACGTACTTGGTGGCGAAGGAACACATTGTGAAGAAATCTGCATGTCTAAAAACTAAAAAAATATTTCGACTAAAAAAGACACTTTCGGGACTTGGGTATAAAGGCTGTAACTATATAGCTTACATTTTTAATATTTTTTATAATATTGTAACTTAGAAAACTTTATGATCGGTTTCAACGTCATTCAACTAAATATTAAAAGACAAAACTGTAGCCGCCTTGAAGTATGTATGGATGAAAACGTTACCTCACTCCGCGCAATTGTCGAGTGAAAATCAATAAAGCAGGGAGAATATTTGAACAAACAATGTGCGACCAATCTTGAACATATCTCGGCCGGCACCCGAATATACGTAGAATAGTAGTCATAGAGTACTGTAAATAGTAGTTTTTAAATAATATAAAGTCTAGTATAATGGTATTCTGTGTGCAGGCGCAAGCGCTTGAACTGTTTGTAACTTCAGGTTCAGAAGGGTTAGAACCCAGAGCCATAAAGCCAGTTAAAAAAAAAGCTTGAACAGTTAGATTGTTTTTATGAGGTAAAAATTAAAAACAAAAAACAATTTAATAAAATGTATTCTCACTCAATATGACCTTTTCAAATAGTGTCATTATGGAATGTATATCTTTGAATAGCGATATGCGCTCGACTAAACAGTCAATCCGCTACAATTTAGTTGCGCCGTAGCGCACTAGCAATGTTGAAAGGTCATAGTTTCTTGTCCTATTTTATTTATTATACTTATATAAGGAAAAGCGCAAGTGAGTCTTTTATAAAGTATTTATTATGAAAATTGTACCTCTTAAGTTCAATTCAGTGCTGCTAAAGGACCAGCCGATAGAGGAAAAAGTAAATCGATAACTACTGTATGCCCATTAATATCAATCAAACAGTTTGATCGTCATGAAATCGACACAAGCTTTGGTCACAAGCACACAACTCGACTAAATAGCTCACCGCATACATATAATTACTACGTTTTTATTAAGCCCCTTTCTTGTTTGTCTGTCTGTCGTTCCGGGTGGAATCTTGCGACTCACTTTCCGAAGAAACACTTGAAATACATTGTGCGTGGCCCGACACGCACTTGCCCAATATTTTTTGATATATTGTTTTGGGGCGATAAATTTTTCATCCTCCTTTACGAAAGCAGACAATTTTGATCTTATTAGATTCAATACACCTTAATCGAGGTCTGTAAGTTTTCTTTAGTAATTAAGTTTAGTTTAATTAAAAAAATAAAAACGCTCGAGGAAGTTTTTTTAAGTCAAAAAATAGATATTTAATGATAAAATACTTTTATTACTCAGAAATACAGGTTTCCTCCCGATATTTTCTTTTAGCATCATGCATGTGGTGAATCAGCGTCTAAAATTGCAAATAACAGTTTCTCGGTGCCAGTGGAAATCGAACCCGGGTTGATCGCCTTCTGTGAAACTTATAGAAAGCGGCTTAGCTTCAATCTACCGCGGCTCTTAAAATTTAAAACTAACTGATTACGTCATTAAAAGGAATATAAATAATCGCTTAATTTTTCAGAATTCGTTCGTATATGCAACTTACGCGATGTAGATTGCCTTGAAGGAATTTCAAGTGAAGTATTGTGTTTTATTACTACAATTTACTTATTAAATTAGATTTAAAAAATACACGAGACTATTAAGCTTCAGTCACGCACAGCGATTATTCGCTGCGTGTGTATTCGCTGCGAATAATACTCGCAGCGACAATTCGCTGCCAGCCTGTCACGCACGACGATTTCTACAAGAGAATTATATTATATATTTTTTATTTTTCCTGTCCTGGGAAGAACCTGCAAGAAACCCAAAGGGATTTTTTTAAACATATTTCAAATAATGATTTCTTATATTTACGCGAAGACTACACATTAAATGAAACTAATTTTTACGGATTTTATCGCGTTTAATTTAACTTTTTAATTCTCGACGTTTCGGGTGCTTTAGCACGAACACATAGCTGATGTGAAGAATCGACGCTCCGGGAAGTCTGCAGTCTGTGAACACGTACAGGATCGCCCCCGTCACTACATTAGATTTGATAGACCACAAATACTCGCTAAAGAACACCGATTCCTTCCAAGGATGATTCGCGAGGCTATTGAAATCAAAAAACATCCTATAGAGAAGATGGCTGGATGCTACAATCTGCTTGGGTTCCCATAATTAATTAAAAATTAAATCCCAACTCAAGTATACAACTGCAAGACTTCACGATACTGTAAGTTCATACTGCGTAGATCGGAACAAAAATTAATAATTTTTAATCTGGAGGTAGCCGTGGTTAACTATGACATTGGGACGTCATACACCTCAGTCCCCCCCGTGAACATGGGTGCTGGAAAGTGCTCGAAACGTCGGGAATGTAAAATAAGTTAATATGCGCGATAAAATCCGTAAAATTAGTTTTATTTAAAAGTAACAAATAGTCTTATTTTTGCAGCATAAATTTGTTTATGCACTATTTCTCACTCCTTCTTTCAATGTGTCGAAATCACCGCGGTACTCTTTTCTTAATCCTTGCCCTAAAATCGCCTTGCAATCCACACTTCTGTTATCACACAATTCCTATGTTATCGCACCTACACCTTAATAATTTTAATGACCGTATTGTACCAGTATTTATTAAAACTTGTGCTTCGTCTGCCACACCAAGCTTTCCCTACCATATATTAAGCGACAGCATTGTGAATTGCAATATGTGACTTTTTGGCATATGAATTTCCAAAATATAGGGAAAAACACCATTCACAATTTTCATTTTATTGTAGTTATTTATTATTTTAAACATTAAATTAAAGCTGTCTGAAATTATATGCAAATAATAGTAATTGTTATGCATTTTCTCCCAACAAATGACTATCGACAGAAAGTTGACCAGCTGAACTGATTAATTATAATACAGGGAAACCTGAATTACTGGAACCTTAAGGGACCTGCAAATTTGTCTCACTTATATACGTATTCCACTTACCCAGTGTCTCAGATATCCAGTCATAAATAAATATCTGTCTTATTAACAGAGTGTGCCATTAATAGAGGTGAGAATAGAGGTTATTTCAGTTATGGATGTGCGATTATTAAATAAAATAACGTATTTTGCAAATATAATACATAAACATCCGGACGATAGCAAACCAAACTAAAACTGGAGGTCACTATTACACAATTAGCCAAGTGATTTTTTGGAATTGTGGGGATATTTTGTAGCATAAGGAATTTGCGGGTAGAATAAGAATTAGTAAACAACACTGTGCACAAGATATAAAAAAAGTAGTAAAAGTCTTTGTAAAAGAAGTAAAATATACTCGCTGTCTCAATTGTAGAGGTAGTTATGACGAATAAAATCGAAAGAACTAATCCCAGATATAGAGGTTTGTTTTGTCCCACTAACAGTGGTAATTCAGTGCTAAAGTATCGGGACCTAAGCATGAGTTCCAGCTATGAAGGTTTCTCACTTATCCAGGTCCCATTTAACCAAGTTTTACTGTAGTTGGTATTTTCATTCATTAATGAATTAATTTAGGAAAATATTTGACCAAAACCGAAAAGAAAAAGATTGTTTTCTGTTATTTATTACGTAATATAATACTACAATGTAATCTTTAATATAAAAAAAATTGAAAAATTTCAGTGCCAAAAGACGATTTGGGGTTACGAGAAACAATTGATAACCTGTCGTACAAATGTTTGCCTGAATGCGAGCATTTCGATTATCCATTGGAGGTGGCTGTAGGGAACCTCGCTACGAACTTGCCTTTAAATGGACTATCATTTTTGTAAGCGCTCACACGTCTATCACAATCCTGTGCAGAACATTAATTGAGAACAGTCGAGTAAAAGCTTCTTTTTTTATTTTCTACTTTTTTATTTTATAATTATCGTTAGGATATTATCAGTATTATTTTATATATTATTTAATGCAAGACATTTAAAACACCTTTTTTTATAGGAGAGGGTGCAAACGAGCATGCGGCTCACCTGTTGGTAAGTGACTACCGCCGCCCATGAACAGCTGCAACACCAGGGAATCGCAGATGCGTTGCCGGCCTTTTAAAAATGATTAGGCTCTTTTTTTGAAGGTCCCTAAGTCGTATCGGTCCGGAAAAATCGCTGGTGGTAATCGATTCCACAAGGAATTTGTGCAAGGGAGAAAACTTCTTCTAAATCGCACAGTGGTGGACCGCCAATCATTCAGATGATATGGATGGTATCGCGAGTTTTGTCGCGATGTGCGATGGTGAAATTGAGCGGCTGGAATTAGTCCGTACAATTCCTCAGAATAAATTAAATAAATAAATAATTAATTAAATAATATTTTTACTTTTATTCAGAAAGTTCTGAAATATTAGATACAATTGTTACTAACAAATTTTAAATTTAGGCTGCCATTCGAAAACCTTTCTTCCTCAGCTTTGGCTAGCGGTAAAGGATCACGTCTCAGATCCAATGTCATTACTGGCAATATCCTCAAATAGCACACTCTCATTTTCAAGTGTTGATGAAAATGTCACGAGTGTAGTGCTCCCAACAACTACAGGCAGTGTGACATGGACATTTCAATAGACCTTCGTTATGTCCATAGGTGTTTCAAGAACTATCTACAAAATACAAACTGAAACTGTTCAACTACAATTACTATAAAAAAAACAATTACTATAAATTTAATTTCAGTAATTGAATTGTTTTTATATTTTAAAAATGACCTGAACATTTTCGGTAGACTTATTTCCGAACTTTATAATCCCTCTCTCTTCTTTTTAGGTTTGTTTCTTCACGACGGTACTCGCTAGTAAACTGTGTAATAAGAACTTAAAAATATTAACGCTATATTTGAGAATTGTAAAACCATTTGAAATTTCAGAATTTACTTTAAAAATTCTCGACTTAGTAATATTTTTTACAATTATATGATTTTTCTGTGGAGCATGTTTTTTTTATGTTCGCTATATTAAGAAATGTTACGTTTTTTAACTTTTTGTACTTTGAGTTTGTATATTTATTATTTGGTTGTAATAACTCAATAAAACAATTTGCAGTAACGTCGTCGACTTGGAAAACCAGTCCGTGCTAAACGTATTTTTCGACGATCTAGTATCGACACGCTATCGCCGTGATGTTTATTTCAACTGGCAAAATTTACTTGGTATGTATATTTCTTTTAATACACTCAAAGCTATTTAAAGTGACTTTACGTTATAAAACATACAAGGAACACATTGAGCAGTTAGAAGTTACTACAAGAACGGAATCTTGCTTAGCTAATACGTTGTCTGTGACATCGAGCACAAATGTCGCTATACCAGGACCTTTGAGAAACCCGGATTGGAAATAAGGCAAGATGTTAATCGTTTCAACAAGGTAATGCAAAATGCTGATGGGCTTAATGTCTTTTTTCTCGAATGGGTTTTCATTTTTGGTATTGGGGTAATAAGTGCCTCCTTTCGCTCATTAGGAACAATACCTGTCATAATAGACTTATCAACTAAGCTGTGATTGTATTCAGAGTACAAGGAAGTGATAACAAGATCATGTGTCTGCTAGTTCAATTGTGAAAAATAATATTTATTTCTACTAATAAGGATTCGCAGTAATATATTTAAACCAAGAAAACTATCAATTTACTCGACGTTAAAATAACTCCTGTTCTCGCCCAAACGTTGGTTTCAAGACTTGACACCGGAGGGCGCTCGGCTCGATACAGCGCGTTCATAACCGGTTAGACGTGTGGGCGGTTAACGGGAGTTTTGCCAGCGGCCCGCGTCCGGGGATTGTGCCAGGCGGCTGGATCGAGTCGAACGGTTGCTAAAATACAGTGCTGTCGAGAGCACGTCGTGAAGTCGCCCGGGAAACCTCCATTTTGAGAGTCGGTTTGGTTAGCAAATTGTTGCCACGACGAGGGTTTTTTGTTAAGTCTAGAATTAGAAGCCGGGCTAACAAATGGTTAGGAAGTTAACATTGATTACGATCCACGTCGAAATTGTTCTAGAAATAATTGTTGCCACGCAAAACGGAAGTGACCTTTGATCCGAACATTCGGTATTCGTGTTGTGTGTTACGCTTTATAATAAACGAGTGTTATTGGCGTCTGGAAGTTAGTTAATTACGGTATAGTTAATAGACTGACATAGTGAAGAAGAGAGAAAGTGACTGTGGGTGACGCCGCTGGAAATTACCACAATTTGGAGCCCTGCCGAAGGCCGGGCTGCTGCCGCCTTCAACAGTCCAGTCAGGTCTATCACAACTAACACCACAAAAACACCACTATACTCAACACATACACACCTCCGGCCTGACCGAGCCCTGAGACAGCAGTCGCCTCATATACAGGTAAGTAATCTCTATTTGACTAGCCTCCCCATTAAATTGTAGTAGGATAAAACATTTTCCATATAGCTTAGTATTATAGGAAATTCTTCCATATAGCCACTCGGCACTGCTTAACATAAACCTCGCCCACAGAGTGCCTGCCTCCTAGGGGGATTATGCCATTGTTGCTGTGCTTGTCTTAGAAATTGCAGTTTTGGTTAAACTATAGACATTCGGTACTCAAGTATGGGGGCGGGAGGGGGATGGGGGAGCGGGACGGTTCAGGGGAAGCCTCCCCTACCCTTTTCAGTTCAACAAACAACATTAATTAGCTTTTGCTGCTAATTCACATAAACCAAGACCATATTCAACTCTATTGTATATATATATATATATATATATATATATATTCAACCCGCTTGGACTGCTTAGCTACCTGATGATCACTTCAGGGTGGAGAAGATTGTATGAAGCGAAGAGTTTCCCGAGGAGGCTGCGGACAAGTTTCTGGAAGGAAGCAGTCGCACCTCTGTCTTCCATGTTCCACTACGTAATTTCCATATCATAAGCAATCTGAACTTCGCGTGAAAGAAATCGAAGACAGAAACTTCTTGTGATAATGACATTCGGTATTGGTACTTGTAATATTATCTATTCTGTGGTATTGGGTTACCCCAACAAAAATTTATATTTTTTTTATAGGTATGGCATTGGTCCCTTGGGAGAGAGGTATAGGTATAAAACCCTAGTGTGGGATGCTACTTGTGAGACACTTTGGCTGCCTTTAATGTCAGGGGTATCTCGTTTAGAGCCGGGGCGGCTTCAGAGGCAGCTGAACTGAGTAAGTGGGGCAAATATGAGTCTCTGAGAGATGACTATATATAGGTATCGTTTGCTGCATAGACTATCGGTCCGTAGTGTTCACGTGCGTTAAAGTTCCAAAAGGAACTGTATCCGCGACTGGTCGTTGCTGCTGGTGATAAGAGGCCTCGTTCTTTTCTCGCTCAAAGGATCAGTACAGCCATTCAGTGAGGAAACGCAGCCAACGTTCTTGGCATGATACCACGGGGAGTAGAGCTGTTTGATAATTAAGTTATTAGTCTCAGTTTTTTTTAAATATTACGTATTGTGTTGTTTGGCGTATGATTTCTATAAATTATTAATATCATCATCATTATTAAGATCATCAGGTAGTTAAGCAGTCCAAGCGGGTTGAATATAAACATGACTGTGCTCAGTATTTTTTTTGTTAGGCGGAAAATGGAATATCTTCAGTTTCAGCACTTTATTGATGACGTATTGAATGTTAGATTATCTTCATCGGCCACCCATAGCATTTTTCAATGGTTTCTCACCTCTTTGGGTTTTAATGCATAATTGTTCCTCTGGTATGCCTTCAGAGACAGTTGCGTGATTCTAATTCCAGGACAAACCTGAGCACCTACGCCAACGCAAGGATGTCGGTCACCCGCTTTGTCGTTTTCTTCACTTTTTCCACCGTGGCGCAACTAACTAGCTAATCGTCCATGTATCGACTCGCGGTGTAATCCCGTACGCTATGTGCGAGAAAGTACCAAGTTTTTATGGAAGAATCAATAACATTACATTAAAAAAAATGTGCGTGTTGTGTACATATGTACGAAGTGAAACTTCATTACATAATTCTTTTTTTAATTTATTGCTAACGCAGCCTCGGCGGAGAAATGTTACAAGAAAACCATACGAAACGTTGTTATTAATAAAGTAATAAAATTCTCCACTACGTCGATAACTTAAAGATGCAATTAGATACAGTAAACACGGAGGTCAACAACAGATTTTCTCTTGATTGGCAGATATCCTCTTCCCCCCGGACCGCAGTCAAGTGCAGACGTGCTAACTTATATTATAATAATAAATTCAATATCCTAATTAATTAATTCACTTGTGATAAAAATCCATAGAAAAAATAGGAGTGCATAACTGGAACATATTACGGCCATCGACACTAAAGCCCCGAAGCTCTGCCCAGTATCTACGAAGCAGGGACAACTAGCTCCGCCCTATAGACCAATCACTACGTATTTCTGCATTCCTGGTACCGTAAGTGCATAAAAACTATTGCATTGTGTTTGAAATTAATTTTTACGACGAACATTCGTCACTTTAGCATCCCACCCACACTACCTTGCAATATATACGCATCAGTGACAATATACTAGTTCCTCCCTTCGGACCAATCACTACGTACTGCTGCTACCCTAGTATCGTAAGCGCTCAAACCGATAAGAAATGTATCGTACACCTGAAAAATCAAACTCCGAATCCAATTTACGACAAATTTCAAGTAATACGGAATCTTCGCCATCAGCAAGCTTTACTACGCGTACTAAGCGGAAACGCTTGGAGGAGACCCCCATAGACCTCTGCGAATTCAAAAATGAAATAAAAGACATTTTATCCTCATGGATGTCTCAACAAAATAGTGAACGAATACAAATTACGTCTTCTCTAAAAACTATTGAAGACTCGATGGCATTTATGTCTGCACAATTTGAAGATATGTGGAAAAAAATGGAAGAAATGGAACGCGAAAGACGGAAGAATAAAGAATACATACTCATATTAGAAAATAAAATCGAGGACTTGCAAAAATCGTATCGGAAATGCTCAATTGAACTAAAAAATGTGCCGAAAATGGAAAATGAATCAAAATTATCACTTATAATTGTTACATGGTTACTCAATTGTCTACATCGCTCAACGTTGAACTCCAAACTAATGATATAAAAGACATTTATAGATTCTCTAACAAAGGTGACAGAAAGCCTATAGTAGTCGAATTGTCCTCCTACATACAGAAGACGAATATATTGCACGCTGCAAAAAAATATAATTTCCAAAATAAAAACAATAAACTAAACACGCAGCATTTGGGATTAAAGTGCAACAACACTCCAATTTTTCTATCCGACCATTTAACACAAAAAGCAAATAGACTTTACTACTTGGCTAGAGAATTAACCAGAATTCAGAAATATAAGTTTTGCTGGACATCGCTTGGAAACGTTTTGGTGAGGAAGGATGAGAGCTCACCGATCATAAAAATAGAGAATCAAATCAAAAACATGCTCAACAAATGACTATTTTTATTTATAGCTAAAACATGTTCTTGGTTTGATATTATTATTTTTACCTCTATGTCTACTTTTATTTTACATTTTGCGATGTTTACGTTTTTCATATTGTATATAACTATCTATACTCATTACGAACACTGCCATTTACACAAGTTCACACTTTGCACATAATACTCAGAAACATAAAAATTAATCATCGTACCCTTTTATACACATCATATCCTATATTAAAAAAATTGCTGTTCTTTCATCGAAAATTAATAATAAAGGTTAGTAATTTAAGTTCACTCCTGAACGAACACAAAGAAAATATTTTACATATTGTTTCACATCGTAGTAACTTTAGTGAATACTCTTCTTATGCAAGCCTGAGTAATACTCGTAAAACTGTTCGTTACCGGACAAGTAGGAACGAAAGCCGTTCTCTGACTAATAATGGATAGTTTGTTTCAAACCAATACAGAAATAGACAATACTGAAGTTGGCCAGGCCTTTATGTGCAGGCCTGAGGATTGCCATTCACACATTACGACATTTAACCATTTCACCATTCTCACTCAAAACATAAGGAGTATTTATAAAAATTTAGACAATTTTGAAGTAACTTTGGACTCACTTAACATTCATTGCGACATACTAGTCATGACAGAGTGTCACATTTCGAAAAATAAACCCATTCCAACACTTAATAATAACTATAATACATATTTTACACAAA